ATATATTATAGTAATTATGAATATTTAGTTTGAGCTTTTATTTGTATATTTGATGTTTTCATGTTAGTTTTAGTTCTTTTTTTATGTGCTTGTGCTTCAGCTGATTTTGGTTACTTTCCAAGGCTACATTAAAATTTTTCTTGTAATACTTATATTTCATTTAATTTCAGTTTTATTTCAATTGACAACATTTTTAATAGTTTTAGTGTATATTTTTAGTTTAAAGTCCAATATGTTCAGTTTTAGACCTTTTCTTTGGCTGAAAAGCTATGTAGCTACTTTGAATTGATCATCTCAAAACCATGCCTGTTTTAACGCTGACTATCACAGTAACTCTGAGGAAAGACTGTCTCCTGGTGGACATTATATGTATAATAAAAGGAGGAAGGCAAAGGCACTAGTCTCTCTCAGGCTATATGCATTGCTAAATGTTTAGTGGGCACATTAGAAATGACAATGTACTGATTATTCTTTCTTTTCTCTTCTCTTATCCACTCACCTGTCCTAACTTGCTTGTATTTTATCCCAAGTCCATCCTTTCCTGACCTCTTCTTATGCTGAGGTTATAATAGCTCAGCGCCTGTATTTTTGACATATACATTAAGACTAGCCCCTATCTATTCCTGCTGTCATCCATTTTTCCTTTACAAGTAAATATAGTTTATAACACTTGTTGAAAAGTAAATAGATAGGATTTTAATTCTTTTTAGGACAATGATTAATTGAGTTTAATTGAGTCTGATTTCATAAAGGAAGGAAAGACAATTTTACTCAAATGTCCTTTTCTGCCTCACGGCCTCAGATTGTCTTGCAATCACTTTTTGTAGCGGCATGTTGACTATCAGCCTCCAAGTACTGCCCTGAGTGGTCCTACATGCCCCCCCCTTTACCCTGAGATCTGATCCTGTCCAAGGTGAACGCTTCATGGCGACGATGACCCTAGAAACCAGGGGAAGCACAGGTGACCTCTGAGCCTAAATCAGCTCCCAGCTAAAGCACAACGCCTCAGTACTGAAGAGCTCTGACCAAGGTACGAGTCTAATTGTAATTTCATAGTAAAGCTGGCCGATGGATGCAAATAGCAGCCAGTATATGTACACTGAATAAACAATGTAAATTATATATGGTAAATAAAATATAAAGCGGCTACAATCTCCTATGTAAACAAACTTATGGCAATATATTTGAAAATATTTTAGGGTGAATCTCATTAAAACATGCACAGATCACATATCACTGCAAAATAAAATTGAAAAAATGCATTTTTTTTCAAAAAGAAAAAGTTTCTTTTTAGGACTATTGAGATGTTTTACCCTTATTTTATGCTGATTTAGTATAATTCACCCAAAAAATTACTAAAAGCATCCTCATTTATATATATTTGTATGTGTGTGTGTATATATATATATATATATATTTTTTATTATTATATATTTGAAGTCTAAACAAGTACATTCTAGCCCCCCAAAAAACTCTTTGAAACTACATTCTGTGACACAAAAACAGTATTATTTATTATGAAACGGTTGGAGTTCTGATATCACTAGAATATCACACTCCTTTCAGCCAATCAGATTCGAGGACCAGAAAAAACTGTTGTGTGTATATGAAGAGTTTATTTGCAAAAACAGATAGCTCCGTTTTTTTTTATTTTTCAAAAATCATGCTTTTTATTATGTTATCATGTTTTTATTGTGGTTAATTCTGTTAGTTAGCTGTTTTTTTAAGTAATTTTTTAACCTAGTCAAAATAACACAGCTGCAGTTTGATTGAGATTAATTGGAATGCACAATGAAAAAACATGATTTTTGAGAATTGTTAAAAACGGAATTATCTGTTTTTGCAAATTAACTCTTTATACATACATACATACATACATACAAACAGAGTATATATATATATAATTTATTTATTTATTTATTATATATATCATTGATGATTTGTTTTTAAATTCACAATATATACATTTTTGTATTTAACAGTCATTTACATAGCAAGTTAATAATAAATACAGTAAATAATAAATATAGTAAATGCGTATTTAATACGATTAGCAATTTAAGTAATTATATTGCATTGAAGTAATGAGAATTGAGTGGAAATTGTGCTTAATTTGGCATGGACTTTGTCTGTAAGCAAAATATCATTTATAATTTCTTTGTTTTTATTTTGAGGTGACATATGACTGGGAAATGATTTCGACAGGTTTTATGAGATTCGCCCTTTAGCTGATATGTAGTTTGGGTCAGGTTTAGATAGAAAATGAGAAAATTAGAAATAATCTAAGCAGACTTGACTTTCTGTAAAGAAAATATCTGCAGCACAACTAAATAATTACCTTCAGAGTGAAATAGTCAAAGTCCTCAAGCTACTGACAAATAATTGGTAAATATTTATCAAGTATAAGCCAGATATTTTATATAAGATTAGCTTTTGTATTTTTATACTAAAAAAGGGAGAATGTGTTAAGATTAGATAGCGTGAGGTTCATACTGTATGACTTGTTGAAATGAAGAATGAAGCCTGGGATCAGTTTTCTATGTGTTTCCCCCAGTGGATCTGAAGTGTGAGAGCGGCTTTCATTTCAAAGCATATATTTTGTTACGTTACATTTGACAGCACATTACACTGTACGTGTGAAGCACTTTGTGTCACTGGAACGTATTAGCAACGTATAATAAACAACCAGTTGGCGGTGAATAATAAACTGCTATTGACTGTTGAGATCAATATTCTCATTCATATTTAATGGCTCCCCAAGGGTTTGTAAACAACTGCCCCACTGCCATTGTTTACCTATTTTCTGCTGAGAAATATATATAGCTACAGCATATATAAGACGCTATAGTTTGGTTTGGTGGTCGTGTCCATCAGATGCCGGATACATACCTCATTACTTTCTTTTTCGTGTCTTAAAATGACTTCACTGAAGTAGAATAGACCCAAACTCTGATGTGACACACATCCGAGTACCATATGCTGTGTTAAAACACTGAGAAACATCCAAAATATATGTACAGAGAAACTGTGGAACTGTATATAAACTGTATGATCATGGATATGTTCATTTAGGGTATTTTTTGTAAGCTTTTTTTTTTTCTACCAAAAGCGTTTGAGAGATCTGAACTGCATGTAGATATCCTCTCAAAGTCTGCATGCAGAATCCTCTCTCTGTAAGTTCTGTTTACAAGTGTAAGATGGATGGATTTCTGTTTTTTTTTTAATAAATATAGTTGTATGTGAGTAGACGGGTCAATCGGATCCTGTTCACTGTTGTCTGATCTGTAACAAACCATTCAAGCATTCCAAACCTCTGAATTTAACATGTCCATTTTCATTAATGCAACATATAGAATGTATATAAATCTATCGACAACTTCGTGATAAAACAATAACAGTGTGAATGCAATGTTGACCAATAGAAATATATCTATATGGAAATGTTATAATGATAAAGTTGTTTAATGTTGAAAAAAAACCTCGTCTGGTTGTGTATGTACAAGAGACTGTTGGTTTTGAATGTTCTTGTGCTGTTTTTGTGACTATTAAAGTGAATATCTTCTACTACAGTCTTGTGCGCTAATTGTAATTACAGAAATGTTAATTGCAATTGTAAATGCCATTTTTTATCAGGTATAAAATCTTTATTGTGTCATATGCAGAAAGAAAAAAACTGATTCATATGGGGAAAAAAAATAAATAGACACATACTAGACAACGTTCGTTTTCAGTAGTTGGTGTACAGTAAGCATTTCAAGAATACAGTGTCAAAATGAAGCTGAAGATCCAGTTATTATAGAGTTAATCTCACGAAACCTGTCAGGAATATGCCGTATGTCACCTAAACATTATAAGAAAATTATAAGGAATTACTGTTAATTTTTTAATTATTTTTGATAGGTCAAATTCTTTAAATGTCTCCTTTTTTCATTAATTTTGGGGCAAAATATGAAATATGCATGTTCACATTTTTCAAAGTTTTTTTTTCCTTTTAATTTTGGCACAAAGTATTAAATATGCAAGCACATTAAAATTCTTCAAATTTCTTTTAAAATTTTGGGGTGAAATATGAAATATACAACCACGTTCAAATTCTTACAATTTTTTTTTTTTTTTTTTTTTGGGGAGCGAAATATGAAATATACAAGCACATGTTCAGATTCTTCAAATTTCTTCATTTTTTTCTGTTGATTCTGGGGCAAAATTATAAATATGCAATCACATGTTCACATTTTTGAAATTTCTTTTTTTTTCCTTTTAATTTTGGAGCAAAATATGAAATATAAAAGAACGTTCAAATTCTTTTTTTTACATTTTGGGGCGAAATTTTAAATATACGAACACATTCGAAATTTTTACATTTCTTAAATATTTTTTTTTTATTTTGGGGCAAAATATGAAAAATATGAAATATGAAAGTTTTTTTTTCCTTTTAATTTTGGCACAAAGTATGAAATATGCAAGCACATTACAATTCTTCAAATTTCTTTTTAAATTTTGGGGTGAAATATGAAATATACAACCATGTTAAAATTCTTCAA